TCTTACATGTAATACATTTATAAATTTCTTGGAAGATTGAAATAAAAGGTATATGTGTATCATATATGCACAAATATAATTTTTTATATACATACACACACATCTGCTCTCTCCCTATAATATATGTACTTCTAATACTAGGATTACAAATAAATTCTTTCATTCTACTTGTTTTAACTCCACATAATTTATTTGTTAATTCACTGCAAGCCTGCAGATTTTCAGAAATTATTAGGGATAAAGCTAATTTTCCTCAGATGTCACACAGCCCTTTTATATTCTGTCAAGTCAGTGACCAGGTCTTCCATTTGAATTGCCAGACTTCAAATGGTGTGGGAAAAGAACTGAGATCCGACAAGGTGAATTGCTTAATAAATATCAGGAAGGCAGTGTAAGGGAAGAAGAACAGAAAACTTGTCATTGTCTTCAGTTCCTTCTGTAGGTGACTTCTGTTGGAAACAAGGCACTGGGCTAGATGGGCTTTTATTCTGCTCCAGGAATTTTTCAGTAATCCAAAACAGTCATTATTTTAGAGATTATTTTATGCAAATAAGATTAAACCTTGTGTGTAATTTCTTCAGTTGCTTCAAGAGGGTCTTCCTCTTTGTTCCAGCCAGTTAAAGGAGATTGCTCAGGTTTCTTTCCAAGTTTGGCTCCCATCCTTAGGTGAGACATCACAGGCATTGCTTTGACTGAACAGGATCTCACTCTGGAAGCATGTGTCCTTATATCCTTGTTTTGTCCCTGGGGTTGCCTTGCAATTTGGGCTTTTTCCTCAAAGCTTTTCTGTAACTCAGATTTGATACTTAAGAAAAATTTTAAGATGTTTCCTCAAGAGTTACACACTGTCCTCCACTTATTTGAGGAAATTATGTCGCTAGGAAATGGCTAAGTACAGACATTGTTTGATTTTTGTGGTAAACAAAACACAGTGGTGGCTTTTCTGGTTCTTGTCTTAATTAAAACTTTTAAAGGAAGTCTTCCCTGCCAGTTGATGCCAAGGAATGGGTATCAGTATCTGAGGATGTTTAGAGAAAACAGTAGAACATAACATTGTAACAGCAGAGTAATACACAGTTTATTCTTAGTTCTTGATCCAGACAGATTCTAGATATAGTCATAGGCAGCTTTGGACTCCTGGTCAATACAGATTGATAACTGATGACCCTGAATGCTGGCTTTGCATGGTATCATGACAGGAGCCGTACTGCATCTTTAAAACTGATGGTTCATAAAGCAGAAGAGCTATGTTCCGCTTGGTTTTCCTTGACCTTGAGTGGGCAAATATCCGGTGCCGGGATCAGGCTCTGATATGTATCCCTAACTTGTGATGTCATTTAATTTGTCCCCACACCTTCAGTGCTGTGTGAGATGCCCTAGAGTCGGTCTTGGACATTCAACCAGGATTCTGTAATATGAAGAGGTGTACCAAAATGATTGTTGAGTATATGGTAGATTAATAACAAATTATTATAATTTCCAGGTAATCTTTGAAGTTGCTTTCAACAGTGCCAAGGGAGGTTACGTTGCTCTTGATGACATATCTTTCTCTCCAGTTTACTGCAGCAATCAGACAGGTACAAGTTCTCATTGCTATTTACTTTCCTTATTTACCCCTTTTGCTTTGCTCCTCCCAACTGTCTATCAGTACTTGCAATATGTGGTAATGATGTGTGGATGCAGCCTTCTCAACTTACCAGCAACACCGGGCTCCTCTTCCTTATGATGGCAAAGCAGCAGATAAACAAACACTAACACCGTTCATTCAGTGCAGAAATCAATCCTCAAGGCTTCCTCTCCAAAGACCTTGCCTCAGGGATCTGCAACTGGAGTGACGGACTGAATGCTGTATTTGCATCACACCAGATTTTGAACAAATTACCACTTGTAGGCCTGTCGCAGGAAGTGAGGGGGGATTTCCACAGATGTGGTATGAGGAAAAAAATGGCTTTTCATTATTGCAGATGTAGGGAATAGCTTCTTCAATGCCACATGCCCTGAGGTGCTCTTCTGAGCCAAAACGTGAGCCTTGTCTTCCTGTCTTCACTCTTGCAGGAGGTATTACTTACCTCAGACAGTGTCTGCCAAGTTTTTATTAGGTTTTTGTAGCAGCACAAGTCAGCTGAACCTATGTGACCTCTGCTGTAAAGGCACTTGGAACCTTCAAAGGGCTTCATCATTTGTGAATGCAGCCTCTGAAGTAGTTGTGTACTGGCTGTGTGGGTTTTAGGTAGCAAAAAGCAGCAGTCAGAAGTAGACCAGTGATTTCCCATTGAGCCCATCCATTCTTTCAGTCACAAGTTTTAATTTTTGGCTAATGTTTTGAAGTGATCAAGGAAAAATAGGGTTTTTTTTTCTCTTTTTTGTCTTCTTGGAGTCTCTGCTAACTTTACGTGCACTACTCAAGCAGTATATTAGGAGTATGCCATGGACTGGAGCTGTGTGCTCATCTGTGTTTTCCATTTTAATTTTCAGATAGCTTATATGTGTTGAGGTATGAAATAAATGTTATAGTATTTTCTGTCCCAATCCCCATTTAGTCATGCTATCATGGCCAAAGTTCAGATCTGCTCTGACTGGTGAATTTGATAGGTTCAGCTATAGCTTTACCTACTAACCCTGATTTTGAAGCTTTTGTTTGTTTGGTTGGTTTTTTTCTTTGTTTGTTTGTTTGTTTGTTTGTTTTTCTGTTCGAGAAATGAATGCAAATAATTTGCTTTATATTTTGTTAAAGTACAATAAAGCTGAATAATTCTTCAGACTTAACTCCTGTTTACATCTTCAATTGCTTTGAATAGAGATGTTAAAAAGCAAGAGACCGTAACTCTCCTTGTATTCAGCCGTAACAGCATTTGGTTTTTTCCTTATTTTTCACAGAATCATAGAATGGTTTGGGTCGGAAAACACCTTTAAAGATCATCTAGTCTAGCCTGCCTGCAATGAGAAGGGACATTTTTAACTACATCAGGTTGCTCAAGAGGCCTGTCCAACCTGACCCTGAATGTTTCCAGGGATGAATAGCACTGGGGGTTGTGCCCCTCTTTCCCCCAGTACCTGCTCCAAGTGACTGATTAGGCTTTTAAAGAAGTAGAAATGTTTTACTTAAGAACTCCCATTCACCAGGGGGATTTTTTTCATACTGAAGCAAATCCTGACCTCTGAATTCCATGCTGCAGATCAAGAGGGAGCCATCAGCAGGGCTGGAGGGCTTAGCTTAGCTTTTAAGGAGCTTCTCTGTAAATGGTGAAGCTTTCTTTGCTGCATTTAGCTTTTCTTCGCTAAAACAAATGAGGCATAGCTCCAGATGACAGTAGCCATGAGAGAGTGCATGAACCAAAAGTTGTTACATACTTACGGCATGCATTATGCACACACACTATACATGGCTACAAAAGAGGGTTTTTTAAAGTGCTCTTTAAAAGAGTATTAAATGTTGCTGTTATAATGTTATCCCCTTGGAAGCTGAGATGAAAATATGACCCACATGCATACATATGCACACACTCACTCTCATTTTGTCCAAATATCTTCCAAATGAAGGAGCAAGATGAAAAGAGATGGTCTGAATGTCTTTGTGCATTATGTCCTGAAGGAAGAATCTTCACGTAATATCTGTTACTTATGTATATTTTATAGGGGCTGTGAAAGAGGATTCCTCCCAGCTCCAGCAAAAATATATGAAAATAATAGTCACTTGCGATAGAAAACCAATAGTTTGGTATCACTGTGACTTTGCACTATATACAAGTAACATCTTTGCACATGCTTATCTTCGATAGTGCAAAGAAAAATGAACCAGAGCATACTTTGGCATCCTTGTGCTTATACCGTGCTTTTCCTAACAGAATATATGAATCTATCTTTCAGGAATTCCTTTCAATCCTGCCACGGCAGGCTGCAATTTTGAGGAAGATCTGTGTAATTTTTACCAGGATCACAAAGATGGCCCAGGATGGAGCAGAGTTAAAGTGAAGCGTAACGTGTATAGGGCAGGAGATCACACTACGGGGTTCGGTAAATCAAAGCTCATTTTCACTAGAAGAGTCAAACTGGATATAAAGGTTCATAGAATCATAAAATGCCTTGGGTTGGAAGGGACCTTAGAGATCATCTAGTTCCAGTGTCCCTGCCAGTGGCAAGGACATCTTCCATGAGACAGGGTTGCTCAAAGCCACATTCAGCCTGGCATTGAACGCTTCCAGGGAGGTTTATCTCCAGGTTAAAGGCTAACCTGCACCACTGTGCCATTGTTCACTCTGCTCAATAATGTCATCGGCACGCTGGTTAGATTGCCTCACTGAGCTCCCTGCCATTAAAAATCAGTGTACACTGCTCTGTCCTAGCTGGGACTCTGGCTGTGCCTCCCCACCTGTGAAGGGGAAAGGTCACCGGCTGAGTAGTCACACAGGGCTGTAAATCAGAGTATCTTCACTATACTGATACGTAGTCACTGAAGGGATGATTCCACAAAAATATGCAAGCACATTTAATAGTAGCTTAATGTATTGCTTTTAGTATAGAAGAATGGGGTGGGCTTTTAGCCCCTCCAGGCTTAGGATAGTTCACATTTTTAAAGGAAAACTGTGAAATGTTGTGTAGTGAAACAGTAAGTTGTGAAACAATAAGTTCTGAAACTCATGCATCTATTTGTGCAGAGTATTCATGTTTTTTAAACATATGTGGTAAAGCCTCTTTATACTTGGTGCAGGGTGTAGGCATTGCACCCCATCCTTCATTCTTTGGTCTCGGGGTGGTACTCTTGAAACAGCCAGGCTTCCAGTGAGGCCAGCAGTCTCAGTGTAAATCTGAAATCAGTTTATTTCTGGTAACTTAGCCATGTGGCAGTTTAGCTTGAAGTATCTGGGATGCTTTAGAAAAATTCCCATTTCCTTTGAAACACAATGAGTGTGATAAATAGTTTCCTGCCAGTAGAAACTGTTTTTATAACCAACGTCTGATGCAATAACAGGAGCTGCTTTAATAGCGAATCAGCTGTGCTAATATTGTATTGAAGTACTCAATAACTGCGCTGTCTTGCAGGTTATTACTTGTTAGCAAACACAAAGTTCACATCACAGCCTGGGTACATTGGACGTCTGTATGGCCCGACCCTGCCTGGAAACTTGCAGTTTTGTCTGCGTTTTTATTATGCCTTATATGGGTTTTTCAAAATGAGTGGCACTCTTGCTGTTTATATCTTTGAGGAGAATCATGTTGTTCAAGAGAAAATCTGGTCTGTCTTGGACTCTCCAAAGGGAGTTTGGACTCAAGCTGAAATTTCCTTCAAAAAGCCGATGCCTTGCAAGGTAAGAGCCAACTCTTCAACTCTGCCAGATTCTGGATGGAGATATTCCTTGACTTCTCCCCGGGTTCAGTTTTATCCAGGGATTAATTCGAAGTGAGCTACACCTGCAAAGTGAAATTAGACTTGCCCAGCCACTACAGTGGGGAGTGGATAATTTCTTCGCAGCCTGGCTGCCGTGGGACCCCTGTTAAAGGGGCTTCATACCAGGCACAGGGCAGCGTTGCCTTGGTGTCCTCAGCTGGTGTGCTGTGACTACATCACGGTATTTGTGGAGTGCTCTAACAGAGTCAGTTGTGTCTTGGTTTCTCAGTAAAGCCATCTGTCTATGAACCATCTAAGGGCAGACCAGATGGATCAATACCTGATCCATCCAGCTTGCCTTTTTTTCATAGTGATAGAACTATGAACTATGAATGAAAGCTGGTCTCATAACTCAAGTATTTTGAAATTATGGACAAACATCTCAAGCACTTTTTTTTAAATTTTTTTTGTTTTAATCCTGAAAAGATATTGGTTAAAAAGGCAAGCTTATAGCACAATTTTGCCATCTCCTATTTATGTATTTCTTTGTTACTTCTAAAGAGGTTCAGTAGCTTGTGTAGGATAATACACTGTATGAGAAGTGATGACAGCTGGGTATGACTTAGAAATGGTTTATAGCCTTGGAGGTGACAGGTTTTCTAGTGTCTGACATTTACATGGAAAATCCTTTCCAATATGAATTTATGGGGAACTGTTTTTATGTTTTCCTAGAAATTAGCACATTTAGAACACTTGTGAAGAAGCTTGCCTGGGGTGGAAAGCTTTCTGTGAACTACAGCTTTCTTGTCTGTAGCTGCCAGCCTGCCTGTAAGCAGTAACAGATGGGGACAGCAGCACAGAGGAGGATGAAGAAGTGAAGGGAATAACCTCACTGCTTTTCAGCCCAAAGGTCTGCAGGAGGGGAGAAACCCCATGCTCTGCAGCAGGAGGATTTGTTGGCCTCCAGCAATTCTCTAAAACCCTCAGTGTGTCCTTCAGGTCTGGTGATGGGAAAGCCTTCTTTCCCATGGAAACAAGCTGCAAAATGTTTCTGGTTGAGGCATTCCTCAAATACCACAAGAAGTGAGATTTATTTGGCTTTAGAGAACTCAGCATGTATTCAGCATATAATTCAGACATCCCTTAGCCAAATAACCATGCATTTGGGATGTATGTGAAGTTCTGCATTAGCCTTGATTTCAACCTGTTATCTCACACTGTCTTTTTTCCTGGATTGGAAGATTAAATTAGGTTTAGAATAGGGATTAAATTACAGTTTTGATTATGTAGTAGATGCCATTGGTACATAATACATCATGCACAAGCTATATTGTGCTGAACTTTGTATAACAGTTTTATGGTTTCCATAGTGTCTGTGTATGTATAAACACTATCAGTTTATAAAGTGAACCTGATTTCGTCTTCTCCTTGCAATCTCATGCCCAACTCTTCAACCTGAATACTGTGAAAAGTCCTTTGTTTCTTCTTTTCCAAGCCAGCAGAAGGAAATGAAGGAGCACTGTGTGACACTGTATAAACCCTTAGGTTACTTACATGTAAAGGTACATCTGTCTAGGACCTAGGGGAGTAGCTGACAACAAAACTCATTACAGCAGCTGTCTTCCATAGGCCAGTGGTGGAAGTGCATCGGAGAACATTTTGCCTGACAGGAAGGAGTGGTGGGAACCAGCAAGTCAGGGATGACACTTCAGGCTCTGGAGGGAGAGACAGCAAAGAGAAACAAGTTCACTGAAGCTTGACCTTGCTTTTTCTGTCTCTTCCAACCTGACATTGTGTCTCTCACCTCCTCCCTGGTGCATCTTTGTCTCTTCTGCTCTGCCCTGTCCCTGTAGGCAGTAACCCTCCCCCATTCCCCATCTTACTGCTGGCTGCTCACCTCTGAAGAGTCCATTTTTTTTCCCTTCAGTTCTGTCCATGTCCCAGTGTGTTTGCCCTGCATGTCCTGTTGTCCCAAAATGGGGTTCTTTACCTGGTGTTTATTCCAGTTCTGCACAGAAATAGCACACCAGGTGATAATTTCAAAAGCTAGCATGCCTTTGAGACATAAGATGGGTCTTATATATGAAATAATAAGAAAGAAGAAATTACAGTACATCATATGATTGGTTAGTCATTTTGTTGGTCTTAACTTTACATACAAAGACAGGAATTTAGCATTGCCTTATCTCAAGGCTCCTCCTCTCTTTTAGGACACTGGCATACCTAATATCATTTTAGGTGATGCCGCCTTGCTTCTGCCCCCGGTTTCACCTCTTTCCTTTTGACTGTACCTTAGGTTTGTCGAGGGGTGGGACATTCACACTGTAATTAGCTATGTAAAGGGGACCATTTTAGCAATACTTATGTTATCTCTTCCTTTAACAAGACTCCGTCTATTTAAGCTTAATGTCTCATTTCCCCCTTTTAGGCCTTAGTTCCAACCATCTCTTTGTCAACCTTGCCAACAGTCCCTGACTTGACAGAAAGCACGGTTCTGCCACAAAGGCCAAATCCTGATATATTTCGTGCTTGTACTTCAAAGCCTAGGAGTGCCCAAGCTTTTCAAAGAATTTTTTAAATAGGGGCAAAATAAAACCTTTTTTTCCTAGCCTTGTTCTCGGAAATGATGGAACTGTTTTGGCTTAAATCTTCAAAAACAAGCCTGAAGCAAGGACCTAGCATGAAAAGTCTGAGCTGAAAAATGTTGATTCTTGGCAACGTTATAAGCAAGTGAAAAATGGAGTGGGGTGGTCTCAAAATCAGATAGGGCTACCACCTTTCATCTAATGAAGATGTGGTAGCTGATTTGCCAGTCGTATTTTTTTCTGAGATGCATCATGTCTATGCTTGTATGATAAGAAGTTGTAGGCATGCACAGTAGTTTGGCTCATCAAGTTCTTGGTTACTGGGTGTAACTTGTAAATTGGGCCAGTGCCTGTGGAAACAGTAAACAGTCTCCTGGCAGTTCCTTAATGGCCAGTCAGCTCAGCGGAAGTTATTAAGCTGCTATGGCCAGGCAGTCCTGAGGGTCCTAACGATTTTGCAGCCAGAAAACAATTATTCTAAAATACCTGATTACCTGCATCCCTCAAGATTCTTCTACTGTGAATACTCCTCTCAAGGCTTTGAAAACAATATAAAATATGCCCAATATTTTTTTTAAATTTTGCCAGTGTATTTATTTGCATCAGGACAATAAAAAGGTTCCAATTTTTATCTCTTGGTTTGTGTAATGTTTTTTTTTTGAGTTCTTTCTGAATTAGCTAACTGCAGTCTGGCACAGACTTAGCTTCAGTTCTGTGAGCAGGAAACGTGAAGCTGGCCAACAGGCTTTAATAGGACACTTTGTAACTACTGCGTTTAAAAGGTTAGGTGGGTATGATCCTGCTAACAAAGTCACAAATGTTTATACATATATATATGTATCTATGTGTACAAACTGTAAATACAATGTAATGCTAGCAGCAAGGCAGGAAGTTTTAGACCCTGATTTCTCAATTTGTACTTGAGGCACTCTCTCTTTTAGTTAAAGTACCTATAATCCTAGAGACATACACTATTGTCTTTATACTCTGTAATTCCCAGGGAATAACTGCAATAAGGAAGAAATGAGGAAAAAAAAAATCTTATCGCTTACTAAAATAAAATTAAAACCTTCTTCATGCTTTGTTGTATGTCTCCTATATGGCAGCAAAAAAATCTGAGTCTGAAATATGTAGATTTTTAAAATCTCATTGAATGTACTGAAACTGATATTCCAGGCCAATACCCAGCAGGAAAATGTCAGAGCTCACTGAAGGAAAAGTTAATATACAGCATATATAACCTGGAGATGCTCACATGGACCATGGAGCAAGAATCTGCATTTTAATACTGTATATGTGTTTGTGTGTACATGTGACCATGGAAAAATATTTATTTTCTGCAACTTCACAACAAAGTCGAAATGCCTAGAATAAAATGAAGGTTTGAGTGCAGCTGGGTCTACTTACATCACCTCTGTTAATTTCTGCTAGATACAGCTCACCATTCTGAATCTCAGGTTTTCAGAAGCAAACATCTCATATTGTTCATACATTCATGCACATTTTTGCAATGTTATCTAGCACTGTGGTGCTCCCACAGAGTTCAAAAACAAATCCTCAGAAAGGTGGCTGGCATCATAACAGTTCACCCTACTTTCATCAGAGTAGTTGTGGCAGCATTTTTTGGGGTTTCATTCTTTCAGTCCAGTTTTCTTCCTCTCGATGCCTTTTTTTTTCCTCCTTACTCCCTTTCCTTGAATTCATCTGTTTTTTTTCCATCCATCATCTGTAATTTATTTTAGTTGTAGTTGTAAGAAAACAAAGTCAAGCGACTGAGTGTTGCACTTCAGTATTTACATGTTTTAACACAAACAAAAGGGAGGACTTTTTCTGGAGTGACTAAACACTGAAATCCTTTGCCGCAGGATGCTGTGTTAGCCAATAGTATACATGCATTTAAAAAAGGATTAGGCAAATTAATGGAAAATAGACCTCACAGTGACCATAAACACAGTGGTACAGGTGTGACCTCGAGTTCAACAAGTTCTTCTTCTCTCTGGGTGCTGAACATAATATAAGGGCACAGGTAGCTTTGTGGTTGATAAGTTTCTTGCACTGTTTTCCATAAACTTCCAGTATTACCTCTCCTCCTTCCTGGGGCTTGACAGGAGAGTCTTTGGAACTTTTTTTCTCACATTATCACTGTGATGATGCTCAGTATTAAACTATTCTAGCATTTCTCTTTGCTGCTGAGAAATTTGTGTCTCCTACTTGTTCACCTAAGTCATAGGTAAATGACTAAAGCAATCCTGGATATGTGATGAAGTCCTATATCCCTGTGACCGACTCACTAGTGTAGAGGACACAGCTCTCCAGTCATGTATCAGGTGGAGGTGGGCAGACATCCTGGTCCTCATATCCTCCTTCTCCTCTAAAAAAACCTCACTTGTGACAAATAGAGGAGCTTTTTGGTACTGTTCTGACACAGCCCTTGATCAGCCCTCTCCTGATAAGGTATGCCACCTGAGGAGGTTGGAATGAGCTGATGGTATCAGTGTCCTGTATATGTTTCTGTGCAGGCAGTATTCTCTACTAGACAGTGAAATCCAGTAAATGGAGATGTAGCGTTAACAGCCTGTGGCCCTGTTCCATTAGCTTTATATGTCTCTTCCATTGTTTGTTTCTGCACCCCATTTACTCTTGGACAGGAAAGATGTTCAAAAATATTTGTTCAAATATCACAAGGTTATTACCAATGTTATCCAATTATTTATGTAGATTTCGTAATCCAGTATTTTTCCCACAGAAGGTCATTGTATTTACATGGCAAGAAATTGAATTTGCCTGGTGGGTCCCATTTTAAATCAAGGTATTTTCAATGACAGAAGCTTGCAGCCATCCTAATTTTGGTTTAATAGTTTACTTGCGTAATTGATAAATGAGTTTCTGACTGTTTAAGCCAAATAAAAACAGGACATTTAAAAAACAGTTTAATTAAACTAGTTGAAAATAATTTGGGCTACACTGGTAATGTTTGTATCAAACAGCCCTGGGACAGTCAGAATGGTTCTCCCATTCCATGCTGTGGCAGGTGCAGCCACCCGGCTTTAGCCATTAAACTGCACCTCACGGTGATCAGCTGGCGCCTCAGGGCTTGGGCCGCTTGGCCCATGTCTGGGCTTGCCACCTCAGCCAGTGACAAGGACCACAGTGCAGCATGGAGGAGGTATAGAAGGGGCACCACCGAAGAAGCGGTTGAGCTGGCTGTGGGCAGAGCAGCGGGCCTGGCCGCTGGGACACCTGGGCCAGGGACGGGCCCCCAGCTTGACACGCCTACGCCGCTGCCTACTGGGAAGGCTGAGTGAAAAGTCAGGCTCCCTGTTCTCTGAAAACATCCTGACTGCTTCTTCGTGCCATAGTATGCTTCTGTTCCTGGTGCTCAGATTATTTTTTCATTTCATAATACTGAGCTTTGTGTCATTGTATGGAAACCACAACAGCTGCTTCTCACAAAAACCCACCCCACACTCCACTAGAACTGCCCTTCTTTGAGAAATTGAACCTAAATAAATGGCAGACTTGAGTTTTGTGTCTATACCCATACACAGTATGTAGTTTAAACCTAGGAATATTCACTAGGAGGGAATCAGGTAAATTAATTTGCTGCAGAGGCATAGCTTGCTTTTAAATCACCAGCTCTGGCTGCTGTCACATTTTTGTTTTGTTTGGGTGGTCTGTTTCTCTAATTGAGCAAGAGCTATATTTTCTGGAATAACTGAGTAGGAAAGAAAATACACAGAACCCACAGGGATCTGGGGGAATCTTTTTCCCTTCTCTCCTGTTTTCAGTCCAGTTTCCTCCAAACCTCCTTTTGCAAGCTTCCCCGTTAGTCCTTACGGTTCTTAAAGGAGGTACCCTTCTGCACATCCTACTCATTCTTCTTCTCCAAAAGCAGGTAAACGTCATATGCGTACGCTTTAACTCACATCTGTTGTAGAGATGCAGCGTGCTAAGGATGAGGTCTCTCCTACCTCACTCAGTGTCTGCAGCACAGCCCAAACAACATGTTATGGGAGAAGTGAAGCCCTGCTTGCTCTACCAGCTGTTTTCATGTGGTGTACCTCCTAACTGATATAATCCAGGATAAATGCCAAGAACTGATTATCGATACTTGGAGGCTACTGGCCAGGAATATTGATTAAGCACTGGGAAACAAAACAGCTTCCATAAATCGGGGCAGTGATTTGGACAGAAACTAATGCCCTGGATGTGTCCTGTTATTGGAACAAAAAGAGACATGAGAGGGAAATATGTTTTATTTTTCAGTAACAAAGGCAACAACTGCCTGAATTTGATAATGTTTTTAATTTAGCCTCCAAGATAGCATGCAAATCCAGGAAGATTTGTTACCTAGTTTGAAACAACTATTATGTTGTTCATCTGTCATGTTTTATGAAGAAAGTGTGAGCTGAGCACGAAGATCCCCCTAATCTCTTCTCCAAGGCATTAGACACCTTCATAAAAACCTTTTGAAAGAGCTGGCCTAGGAAATATTTTCATTCAAAACAAGAAAAATGTAAAGCATCATGAGATTAGCCCTACTGAGACTGTAGAAAGGATACAGAGATCTGACGCAGGGTGAAGATGAGTAGTTGAGTAAATATGAATTGATACAATTTTGGTAGGTAAAGTTCAAATAGTAAAACCTGTCCCTTTATGACAAAAAAAAAAAAAAAAAAAAAAAAAAAGAACATTTAGGACAAAAGAAGACTGAATAGATTTGACCTGTGAATAAAAATGTCTTCTACCCTGTTACTTAAAATTAAATCAAGACTGTAACAACCAAACAAGCCCAGGGGACAATTTGCTACAGCTAATACTGGAAACTCCACATTCCCAAGACCCCACCACCCCTGTGCAATTATAAAGTCTGCTTATCGCAGTGTGTCACTCAGCACTGCAAAAAGAAAATGGAGGATTAGTAACCCTAAAGCTACAGCTGACAAAGCTGAACAAGTTTACAAGTGTCACTGAAACAGATCAATCCTTTGTAGAAAGGCTATTTGTTCAGTGGGCTTTGAGAGACAACGGTTATTGTCGTAATGCTTTTGAGATGGAGGGCTTTCCATGGGATCCAGTGGGTAATTACATACCTTGTATGGAACAAATTATTGCAATTGAAGAATAAAGAACTTGATCCTGCTCCCAGTGATGTCAACAGGAAAACATCGCTTACAACACGATTCCAGAGTGTGGAAATGTTTCACAAATGAGGACTGACCTCACCCTTTCATGTGTGGTTTTCTGAAGATTCTTGGGTTTAGAACTATAATATGTCTTTAGTTTGTTATAAGCGTTCACCAGAATGCATTTATTAAAATCTGGTGAATGACGTCCATCCAACATCAGTATTTACTATATTCTTTATTCCAAGATATGCTACTGTTTTCCAATAGATTGTGCCTGTTTCTTGAAAATGAACTTAGTAAGTAGGAAAGAATTTTTGTCCTGTTAAACCTTAAGGATAAGAGAGCAGCTCTACAGGGGGGGAAAAAAAAATAAATCAATTTTAGGTCGCTATACACTAAGCAGGTGTGAATGCCGTGCAGGGGCACTCTTCAAGTCCACACCTATAACAGTTTACAAGACAGATAATCCCTATTACCAGGGATGGAGCATGGTCTTGAAGATTGCTCCATCTTGGGCAGCATAACCCATACATGTTTCAAGGGTTAAAGTGTAGTTACGTCCCAGGCTTTTTTATAAGCAGATGGGCAAATAAACACAACACAACAAAGCAATCTAGCAAAATGTGGTACAATTGAAGGTCTTACTAAGCATGTTAAAAGAGGATGTATTAAATAATGAACTATTTTTAAAAAGCTTTTTGTAGTTGCATAAAACTATCAGTCAGCTTTTAACCTCAAATATGTAACTGAGGTGTTTACGGTTGTTCCAGAATATTAAGCTAAGTGACACTCGTCTGACTCCAGTCCCTAGCTCAGACCTCATCACAAAGGAATTGTTTTGAAAAGCTCCTCCTAAATTATGGCCATAACCCCAATCATCAGACAGATGGTTTGCAGTAGTTAGGCAAAGAAAACTGCCTGCAGTATTTTAATAAAATAAATCTTATTGTGTCTTCTGTAATTCAAGCAGATCTGCATCCATTTTGGGAGAAGGGCAGCTGGGAATCTTACAGTTTCTTTACGTTTTATTTTTCATCTCCTGAATGACTTGTATTTTCCGTGGCAGAATTAATGTGTAGTCAGATAAAATATCTTGGACTCTGTTTTTAACATTCAGAAACTCAGATGAACACTGTGAATGATACTTAGCATTTCCAGCCTATGCTATCATGCTCTATGATATCATGGCCTTGTGTCATTTCTGAATAATCCTAGTTTATGCAGTAGTTTCATCTCATGTCTATTGTTCTTTGGGTTCTTTTTTTTGCCACAGCCATTTCTCTTGGCTGTGATGCTCTACAGCACTCTTTAAAATTTATTGTTGCATGGATAAAACCTGGTTGTATGGATAAGATAGCTGAGGACATTTTAGCTGTTCATGCTGGCATTGGGTGGAGAAAGACCCACAAAAGCCTCCGTGAGTTATGTTTTCTCATACACTAAAAAATACATAGTCTCCTAAGAAAATGGAAACTATGTACAGAAATACATCATTTGCCTATGAAAGTGAGAGAACACTTTCTGCTGAATGAAAACATACATCTACACCCGACTGGATATGAAATTTCAGCCACTGGCAGTATTAGTATGTGCCAGAACAAAGTGTATTCATCTTTTCTGTTCTGTAGATGTCAAAATTATTAGTGCATTTGGAAAAATCTAAAATTTCAGACTCCCGACAGTGCCAGCTTTTGTTACATACCTGAAACTTCCTTCATGTATTGCAGGTTGTCTTTGTCAGCTGGTGTAAAAGCTTCTGGGATTGTGGACTTGTGGCACTGGATGATATTTCACTGAGCCTGGGAAGCTGCCAGGCTGCTGGTAAGACCATGTATATTTGTTGTCCAATAGCTGACACAATTTTTAGAAAGAGTTCATTGTGTACCTTCATTTTCCAAGCTTACCCTACAGCTGCCTTCATCCCACTATGGTTTCTTTTATTTTCTTTTTCCAGTAAGTATTGGATAAATCACATTTTTGCAGTAGCATTCATACAGCGAGGGCCAGTTTTTGTTCACAAGGGTACCAGCTAACTCCTAATTAACTTCACTGACTCTGGTACAGTAGTATATAGGTGAGTATTCCTTCTGGGGCATTGAAATCTGAAAAAAAAAAAAAAACCAAAAAAAACCCCAACAGTCCAGCTGAGGGGAAAGTAGTTTTCAGATGGCTTTTAGGAAACCAGTAGTGGACCCAAAAGCAGTATTCTCAAAACACAGCATTGTTCTTTTTAGTCCGGAAGTATAGTTGTGCAAGGCCAAGACCCAGTCCATTATCTGAGCTGCAGTTCTCTAATGAACACAGATGTGTCTAACTCTCCCTCCTATACTGGGAGGAACTGTATCTTTTTGAGCAAGACTTTCCCTATGATGTGCACAGGCTAACCCCTCTGAATTCACCCAGACTCTCTGTTCTGGGGCTTTTTGGGGGTTGACAGTACAATGATTGTATCTTCATTTAGAAACCATTCTCATGAGACAGGCACAATCTATAATTTCATTTCTCAGAATAAAGCTATGCCTATGAAATTGTGATGAGGCCGGTCTATGATTCTGTTTATATTCCCATGTAATAAGAACTTCTTAATGACCTCTTTTGATTGGATCTTATGCATTCAGGCAGCTAACCATTACAGAATAGAGTGAAGTCACAGTATAAAACAAGATGCTATATTTCTAATTTTCAGTAGTTACCTGCTTTGCCTTTCTGTAGTTCATAAGTAATTTTAAAAGGAACTGAAGGGGCAGAACTGAAACTTGAGTGTATAGTTGTCTAGGGACCTGCCACTGACAGCAGCAAAAAAAAACCCTGAAAAATGCCCCAGATGCCCAGTATGTGAGGTACCAAGACTTCCTCCTTTCCAAAAGGTGAGGCTCAGAGAGTCTACTCCTAAGGTACAAATTCAGATTATAGCAGAAGCGCTGAGAGAAGCTTCCTGGCATGCACCTCAATTGTCAGCTTCCTCTCCACTGCATCATCTAATAGAATTGAAATAATGAAACTACTCTAGTAATTGCAGCTCTGTGGCCTATTGTATGTGGTATGAGAACCTGGTGCCAAGCGAACTTGAGACCTAAATCTGGCATTTGATTTCAGATCACAGAAATTCCAGTCTTTGACAAGGCTCATTTAATATGCATGTTATACATGCTGGAGCTCATTAAACTGCTTGGGGTGCTACAGTAGTGAATAAGAAAACTGCACTGGTAGAGCCCATTGACAAATAAGAACTATGATGAGTTAATAAACTGTATGAGATGGTTTAAAGAATATTAGTACGTTAGTGAGCCAGACTAGGGCACAGATTTCCTCAAAACTGTGAAGAAAGTGATATTAAATTTCATATGTCAGTTTGAAGCTTTGAAACTTCAAAGCTTTTATAAGCTCATGACTCCTCTAAGTATTGCTACGTAAATATAAGTGATTTCAGCAGGGGAGTGAATGCAAAACATTGCTTGTGTAATCTCACCATATACCTTGTCTAATACATTTGCAGTTTTAAACAATGTCTTCTCCTTATAGATGTGTTGTTGCCCAGTCCTGGAGAGTGTACTTTTGAAAAAGATGAATGCATGTTTACCCAAAAGAAGAGAGGACGAGGGATTTGGCACAGGAGGAGGGGTCCAACTCCCACTTCTTACACTGGACCGAGAGGAGACCACACTACTGGGGTAGGTGAGTTACACTCCACATTGAACTTTAAGAACCAAAATTGATAGATAAAAATACTTTGAAGTGATGACTTAGAACATAAAGTTTTTACTGTTCTGTTCAGAACAGTTAGTAATCAAATAAAGTAAATATGTTTCTTAGGGACCTATGGATGGCTTTGAGAATGTGATGTTTGATCTGAATTATATGCAGAGCTAGTGCGTAATTCAGTCTTCACGTCTTAAATTAGCCCTTTTTATCTGGGAGAAAAAAGGACATGACAACTCTCCAGACCCCGCAAAAAAAGCTTTCTTCCAGATCCCCTACCTCATATACTCCCACTTGGGGTATTGTGTTCAGCTTTGGAGCCCCAGTGTAGGAAAGACATGAACTTGATCAAGAGGAGTGTCATGAAGATGATCACAGGGCTGGGGCACCTCCCCTGTGAGGACAGGCTGAGAGAGATGGGGTTGTTCAGCCTGGAGAAGGTTCCATGGAGACCTTATAACAGCTTTCCAGTACTTAAAGGGTCCCTAAGAGAAAGATGTGAGGGAACTCTTTATGAAGGAGTATAGTGATAGCATGAGGGTAATAGTTTCAAACTGAAAGAGGGTATATTTAGGCTAGATATAAGGAAGAAATACTTGGCAGTGATGGTGTGGAGTCATCAGAACAGTTTGCGCAGAGAAGTTGTGGATGCAACCTCCCTGGAAGTGTTCAGGTTGGATGGGGCTTTGAGCAACCTGATCTAGTCAGAGGTGTCCCTGCCTACGGCAGGGGGGGATGGGACTACGTGATCTTTAAGGGGCCTTCCAACCCAAACCATTTTATGATTCCATGATTTCCTGAAACTAAAAGGTAAAAAAATGGTTGGGTGCTATTCTGCATCAACACTTCCCTTTTCAAATTTAGAAGGAAATATGGAAGTTCCACAGACCCTTTGTCTTGAAAATCTGCTCTACAACCTCACTTGTGTGATCCAAAGTATTTAGGCAAGTGGAGCCCCCATTAGCTTGAGTGAGTGAGTGCAAAACTGCATCAGAATTGTCCCCACACCAGGGTCAGTACCTGGTGACTTTTGGAAATTATGAACTGCATTACTGCATTGGGTGCTTTGTGTTCATGAAGGAGAGGACCTCAATAACAACTCCACTGACTTCAGTATAATGGATCAAACTGCCCTGAGGATTGTGAACTTTAAAGGCTTACATAGGTTTAAAAAGGCTTTTGGGGCCTTTGGATTTGCCCTCTTTCACAGTGCTTAGCATTCATTCAGCAAGTTACAAAGTCAGTTTCAGGCATGCTGGCTTATTCACAGTAGCCATCTATATAGTCTGGTAAAAATCTTAGCTGGCTTACAAAAGCAGTTGGCCTTCTCAAAAGGCTCACCAAAAGCTATTACTACTCTGTAAACTGTGACTGTGTGTAAACCATGTTAAGCATTATCAAGCATAGTTATTTCAGCTGTGTATATGAAGTTTTTAGCTCAATGCAAGCTTATTTCAATTACTCTGGAGAATTGGTTTGTTCAAGTTAACAAAATAACAAATGTGTCTAGTTAACAAAATAATAGCTGTTTTGTTTCTGATCTTTGTCTCTAAATATATGGCTTTGTGCACATCCAGCAAAGTTTCCCATTCCTGTCTTCTCCTGGTAAAATTTCTGTCATAGCTGCATCCTGAGTAAGGTATGGAAGTTGACCACAGAGATGTGAACTCATGTTGAGTGGGACTGTATGGCCACAATCCTACATATAATTGAGAATGCTGATGTGGGAATGTTTCTTTTTGGCTTGAAATTTCAGATCACCAAAAATTGTGCTCTTCCTTTGTGAATTCTAAGCAGTACTAATTCAGGGTAAAAATATCGATAGCTTTCAGAGATAAGTAAGTTTTGAAGCTTATAACTACTTTTACACATTATGAAATAAATCTGAGAAACATCATTTACAAATAAGACCATATCCTGATGAGACTGAAAAATACAGTGGAAAATGGAGGACATCTACAAATCAAAACTGTTTTCCCATGATAGCTTTGTACTGTGTAATAGCTTTCAAAAGGGAATATTGAAATTTCTGTCCCTTTTCCATTTAAAAATTAGATGACATTAGACTGACATTTCAAACAAGTTTATGATATGATTCAGGCCTTAGAACTGAAGGAAAATTATTTTATTACACTGTAGCATGAGCTAGAGATTTTGATTTTTAACTCAAGGAACTTCTAAGCACAGTGAACATCAAAATCCATGCAATGTCTTGCACTACGTTTGGTGTAAATAGCCTTAGGAATTCTCCAACACACTTTTTGAAATGAGCTTTTCTTTACAGGCTTATAGGTGTACATAATCTTCATTTTCACCCTTTCTCCCTAATGCTGCTCACCATGAAACTACTGTTTCAGTGAGAGACACTGTGAACATCCACCAGGACTTGCGGTGGCAGAAAGGCAGCTTGTTTCCTCCAAAACCACAAAAGGGAGCAGCGAGGCTGCATGCAAATTCTGCTGTTGCAAAATCCAAGTTTGCTTCCTGCTGGCAGACTGTACATCTTAAGACAGAGAAGAGCTGCCATATGCAGCAGATGGGACATGGGGATGCTCCTCAATCTTTGACACACCTCAGTTCTCTCCAGTTGGAAATAACAGAATGATGAATTGTGAGGGAGGAATTAATTTGCCTGCCACCAATTAATGACTCGTATTTCCACAGATGAGAGCTCAGGACAATCTTTCATTCATTCCTGGATTCTACAGAGTCTAGATTTCCTCACTTGAGTCTTCACATCTTGATCACAGAAAGAAAATTATTATTGATGTCATATGTGGTTTTAAAGAGGTAGTTAAATTAATTTACTTTGTTAGTAGCAACAGCTCCAGCCATTGCCTGAACTGTACCCTCCAATGTACACGCATCTGTCTCTGAATTCCAATTAATCAACCACAATCAGAGTGCATTCCTGGTTTAAGAACAGATATAATTTTTTTCTTACTTTGTATTCCTTTCTGTTGCTATGTAATTCATCAGCTATAAACAAGTTTTTAGTGTTCTTGTGTTAGCATTCACAGGTATTACGATTATTATACTGCTCAGTATTACAATATCATGAGTATGACAGTTCTCAAATATAACAGTCTACAGCACAAAAGTATCAAAACAGTTGCAGTTGTAGCTTTTTATATAAGGAACATGTTGAGTGTTATGAACATGCCGAGATAATGTATTCTACTTTACTAATATTTGTTTGTATATCTTTTTAAGGATACTACATGTATATAGAAGCATCGGACATGGTCTACGGACAGAGAGCATACCTAGTTTCAAGATCACTAAGAGGGACCTCTGGAAAACAGTGCTTGACATTTTTCTATCATATGTATGGAGCTGGGACTGGGTTATTAAGTGTTTATCTTAGAAAGGAAGATGACGATGAAGAGATTCCTTTGTGGAGGAGGACAGGAGAACAAAGCATCTCGTGGCTAAGGGGATTGATAGAATATGAAAGTGACAGAAACTACCAGGTAAGAAAAAAACCAAACAAAAGTAGTCAAAATGGAATATTGAATGGAACTATATGCTAGAATCAAAGCTTTGGGTTGTATAAAAGAAAATTAAAATGCTAAAATGTAAATAGCGTTGACTAGACACCTGAACAAGATGAAGTAATGTGTAATTTCTTGCAAATTAAGGTAGGGAGGGAATTACTAAAGACGTAAGTATGTTGCAAGTATGAAAATAGTTATTAATTCAAAGTTATTTTTAAAAAGTATTTAAATGTGGTTTTCCCATCATTTATTGTCAGTGGTGGTAGTTTTTATTTAGACCACTTGTGCAATCTCTTTTCCTTCAGCTGTCTAAAGCCCTGCCTAGGTTTAACATAACCAACAAGCTGTGATAAAATGACTGCTTCTGGCAGGAGGGTCTTCCTGAGGTGGCACTGATGGCAAGGGATGATACAAAGCCAGAGCTCT